GATTTTTTTAAACCTAAATTAAATCCTTATCTTTCTACTCTTTAATGTGATTGATTTATGTCACTACACAACGAAGATGATTTTATTATTTGTAAGAGTGTGCCAACAATTTTTGCACATTTTACAATGAAAGCACTAGTAGTACAGTACCAGAAACTTAATATTGGAGTTCACTGTCTTTTTCCACTCAACCCTCATATATCTAAACAGACAAATCATCCACATTCCTAACAGAGTTTGCTCTCAACACAGTTTAAAGAATTTGCCAGGAGGTGGCAATTTATAATCAAATGTTTCACACAAAACAAGGGGGAACTGTGAGTTCATTCCTCTGTATGTGGGTTTGTGTAAACTCAACTTTTACACAATATTTTCCCTAGATGTTATTTCTCCCTCACAGATACATCAGTATATGTGCCTCTTTATTTCACATGGTCCCATACAAATATTCTGCCTGCTCCTTACCTATCCCTATCATGGCTGAGATATATCTGTCAACTACAGAATCACAGAATAGAATCATAGAACAGTTTGGGTTGGAAGGGACCATTAAAGGCCATCTAGTCCAACCCCCCTGCAATGAGCAGGGACATCTTCAACTAGATCAGGTTGCTCAGAGCCCCGTCCAAACTGACCTTGAATGTTACCAGGGATGGGGCATCTACCACGTCTCTGGGCAACCTCTTCCATTGTTTTGCCACCCTCATTGTGAAAAATTTCTTCCCCATATCTAGTCTAAACTAGACTATCCCATTTGCTATAAGAGCCAGCTGGAGATTAACTATCTTTTCATATTTCATGGATCATCCATAAAAACATCATATTACTTCTGTTCCCATTGCTGATCCACTGCCTGATACGGGAGGTCATCACTTCTCTGCCCTCATCCTCCTGCTCATACAACATACCTGTGTAACATCTGGCTTCTGGAGCTCTCCTGTTGTTCCTGCCTACATAGGATGATGATAAAGGTGCAAAAGCATCAGTCCACAGATACAATAGAAACAGCAGGCTTCATCAGTTATTGGGGAGAGGGGGAAGAGGGAAGACCCCACTCTCCCAAAGAAACACCAAATTGGGGGCTTGCACTCACTAGAGTTTTCCTACTAGTGAGTTTAGCATGTCCCGTGCTGATGAACTGCTGTGAAAAGCTCATGTACTGCACAAAACATTACAAAATCAACATTAATCTGTTATTAAACACAACTTCTCAGGTCTGCCACAGTTGTACCTGTTAAACCCACGTAAAAAGGTAAAAAACCTACAGCCAGGATGGTCAGCCTAATGGGAGGATGCAGGCTACAGACAGCCAATTGTTTTTCAGAACACATTAATTAACAAGTGAAAGGTGACTGCAATCATTTAAAAGTGTTTCATTAAGGTTTCTGCAGCCAGTTATAATTTTTAATCAATGTGTCTAAACAGTGAAGAAATCTGTCCTTAAATTTAGCGAAAGTAACAGCAAGACATCAAACTTCATTAGACAACCAAGAACAAATTCAATAATCACTTTAGGACTCTAGCTCAATACACTGTCAGAGCAAGTCTGGATGGCTCATTGCGGTAGCCTCACAGACTCACCTTCAGCACTGCTTTCCCATGTTCAAAGTATGATCACAGCATAGACCCAAATCCATTGCTTTTGGGCTCTGTTGCTGCCTGAATTTCCATTTCAACATAGCTGAATTGGGAAACAGGCACCCAGAAGCAGCTCTAGTGGTCCTGAAGAAAAGATCTAATCAAGCTGGGCTCTGGGAGATGCATATCTAGTACACATCCTAGTTCTCCTCTTGTAACATGAACCCCTTCAGTTTGGTTAGCGAACATTTGCCTTACACCAACAGGTTTTACTTTGTTTACTGTGCCTAGCTGTAGGGTAGTACTCCCTTCTCTCCTACATATCAGAGAGTCTTCCAGCCTCTCACGTGAACGGTCCTAGCTCAAGACAACTCCACCTACTTTTACAAGTCTGACAACATTCTTTTTGCGGGGAGTTGGTTTTCACACAACCAACATACATACAAGCCTTAAGGTCTCATTCAGTCTACCATGAGACCACACAGTTGACAGAGGACTTGGTGCTCTACCTGGCAATTC